CATCCCTCGGGCCCCAACCTACAAGGCGGGCTGCACCAACCGAAACCAGAGCTGAAGCCAGCTTCTTTATGCCTCCAGCCCATGTCATGGTCTGACCGCCGCGCCGCTTCTTCCAGCCTTACCCGGCACGTGGGAAGACAGCACGGAAAGGTAGTCGATGGGCAGGCATACGCAATACGTGACCAAGCCATCGGAGGCGGTGTAGAGCGATTACTTCTGTTAGAGGACGACTATCCGCGCCCAACACACGACGACGGACCTCGTCATTGCTCACCCGGTGTTCCCACCAGACACGAGCAAATGCTTCGGAGACATCGGGGGTCAAACACAGAAAGTCGATTAGCATCCTCCGCTCGGAGAGGCCAGGTCTCGCAACCGTAAAGCAGAACGCTACGAACTGCGGCGATGTACACCCTTCCCTTAAAAAACAATCGAATTTCACGGTGGCGCCACAGGTGTCGCAGGTTGGCGAAAGCTGCTCTAGCTTTCGCTAAAGGAGCAGAGGGAAGATTGGAAGGTTAAAAGCGGTGTCAAGGTGAAAAATGGAGAATTCCTGAAGACTAAGGTTGCAATGGCATTGAGCAGATACATGTTTATCACTGGGTACGACACTCGACCATATCATTTAGCATTTCTAATCATCGACTACACCGATCCTGATTTTCCAACGCAGGAAGACAAACGAGAGAGAGAGATGTGAGCAAACCTCTTGGTCAGGTTTTTCATACCCTCACGCTGAGTTTGAGAGAAATCATATGTAACGAATTTTTTGCATCAACCAATGAAGGGAAAAATAAATATATGGCAATCCTCGTTGAAAGTTATTGCGTCTAATAAAATTCCATGAAAAAAAAACAGTTCCCGATATGGAATTCGTTTCAATTCATTTTTGTCTACTGCACAGCCAATTGACCGGAAGAAGACTTTAGCCAATCAAGCAAAGGTTGTTCAGCGAAGTACAGGAATGGATCACCGTGAATAATATAGTATAGTATAGTATATATCCACATACGGTATTGATGCGTTTAACCGGCTCTATCGAACACAGCTACCGGTACTGCAGTCTCCTCCGCGAACATTGTTCAATCCATTGTGTTCGGAAATTCTTTCACTCTCAAAACGCTTTCGCGAACAATTGCAAGCAAAGAAGTTTTAGTCGTGTTCTCAATTAATACTCACTTAACCCAATAACGAAACATGATAAGAGGTGAGAAAATGAACCCCGCTTGAGTAAGAAACTGCAACAGCCACCGGAAGTCCTAGTCCCGTGACGGAGATTGATGAAACTAAACAAAGTGCTCGAGAGGAGAGGGGGAGCTGCCGGTCTAGATGACATCGGAATTATCTACCGTTGATCCCAACCAGCAACTCAACAATTTTTTTCTATTAGACACTTTAGTACCATGAACAACAAACGCGGGAAATCCCATAGTCACAAGAACCGGCTGTTGCGTCATGGAAACCGGTAACCTAAGCCCCGCGGGACTTGGAGTGGGGCTCTAGGCCCAGCTAGGTTAAGCGTCGTGGTATTGAACCGGAACAACGCAGCTGTCCACTACCTACCATCCATACGAATGCACCGCATGAGGTGATCCGAAAAAAATATCCCTAAAGTTTTGGGGACTAGTGTTCCAAGGCCGGTGATTCACACCGTAAATTAATTTAATGCATTTAAGGCCAGCGAGGAGCATCATACCACTGCGCACAAAAAAGAGAACCGTAAAAACGAAGAGTAAATGCGAGTCATGGATCACGCATTAAAAGTGAAAAGGGTAGGCACATGGATTATTAGTTTTAAAAATTGTGCTAATTAAAATTCCGAATTAAAAGAGAATACAAAATATTGAAAATCGGTTATCGTGGCTCGGGTGAACTGAATTCTAGTTCGCCAGCAAGGACCTTACGGAAAGGACAGCAAGACTGCTCAGATCATATGGAATCCAAGTCGCCCACAAACCGACCGCCTGTCTAATGGGAGACCTCTATCAAAACCAAAGGAGAGAACAATGGAGAAAGACAAGAACAGTACTATCTACAAAATAAACTGCAACAACTGCCCAAGTCATTATATCGGACAAACTGGAGGAAAACTGTCAACAAGGATCCGTGGACACCAATCGGCAGTCAGGAGACATGACCCACTATCGTTGACTTCCCTCCGAGAAGATCAAGGACATCAGTTTGATTTTGAATAAGTGAAAATTATCGACCAAGCCCGGCCAAAATACGCCAGAGAATTTCTCGAGACTCGGCGCTTTTCAATCAACTCAATAAACAGACACACCGAAGTGGATCAGGTGTACACGTCATTGCAACTCAAGGATCAAATGACGCAACAAAAAGGGTCACGCCGTGACCTGTGGACGGACCGAAACCGTAATCAGACCGGAAGGACAACCCTCTCTCCTCACACCAGTTTAACGGCGAACCGAGTCGAACAGTGATTACAAGGGACAAAAATAGTCGGTGGCGAAGATCACATATATAAACGAACGGGTACAATCAGAACACTGCCACTTCACAAGCACTGATGATGATGTCACCTCGGCTGGTGTGATGAAACGTTTGCAAACAAATTGCCAAGCCCGACGAACAGGCGAAATGGAATTCAGTTCACCCGAGCTACGAGAACCGATTTTCAACAGTTTGTCAATGTACAACTTGTTTCCGGAGGTGAACAGTCTGTATAGGAGTTATTTATCAGGTAACTTGTACAAAACAATGATATATGAAAGCAATTACACGAAACCGGAATCCGTATAGACGATATAATCTGTATGATAGATTATTCTCAACGTTTAACAGAAACTTTCTCGTCTCTTCAACTCATTTGAAACAACCGTCCAGTTTACGTCGAGGATGAAATCATACATTGGTCTCGTAGTTTTGGATGTGTCTACATCCCGACACTCAGACTGATCGATCAAGCGAATTATCTATGGGAAATAAACTGTGACCGGAGATAACATAGCATAGCCATGTGCCTTTGTAGCGGAGAGGTTCAACCGAATCAAAAAAGAACCTGGGAGCTAGTCGAAATGAGAGAAACCTCAGCTATTGATTGGCCCGATTGGCCGATAAACAACATTATGGCCACCACGCTTAGGAAACAGAAATTGACTACTATTCCAACAAGGCCAATCTATACGTCCATTCCGTGCGTAGGTGTAGCGGTGGTGACGCAATGGTTTAGTCAACGGCAGCCAACGAGGGGCTTTGAGCGTCTTGATCTGAAGTCAAACCCCGCCACCAACACCCAACTTTGCTGTTAGAGAGAGATTTGCCGTCGACCGGTTCAATACCACGCAAGGCCTCATGTGGTTAACCTGTCCAAGTCCCTTAGGGGCTTAGGTTGCCGGATTCCATCACTGAAAAACAGGTCTTTGCCACTAAGGGGTCCGCCTCATCTGTTGTTCAGCAACATAAAAATGGGTGTAATAAAACAGGTGGCATTATAGAAGAGTTGATAAGCAGATGCCTAAAGGCTGAGTACAAATCCAATAAAGGAAAGGCAGTGGCAACGGCCACAGTTTCAGTTATTAATTTGTTTATGACCCAAACTTAACAAGTCGAACCACTAGACGCCTCACCGACCGTACGCCAAACTACCACCTCAAATGGTTTGGTAGTGGACCAGTCAGAAAAGAGTAACGACGATTACCATGCATATAGCTGAGACAACTGGTTCAACTACTCCGATTCAATCATTCCGATCTACCTGCGCAATCAATGGGCCGAGATCAAACGAGGTCAGAGATTGTCTACTGTCCATAGCGGAGGTGATCAGGATTTAACAACGTTTTTTTTGTTACACACTGGTGTGATGAATAGCGGACGGAGGTAAACCCCAGAGTCACGAAGACCTGTTGTTCGATGATGGAAACCGGTAACCTAATCCCAGGAACTTGGACTGGCGAAACGCCTAAGGCCAAGCTAGATTTGATGTGATATTGAACCAGACGATAGCAAAGCTATCTATTCCCAAAGTTATGTGGCGGTGGTGGGGCTCGAATAAGATACAAAGCGCGCCGATGACTGCGACCAAACCAGTGTGTTTGGAAACAAATTTTCAGAGCAACAAAATTGTCATAACCATCCGCCGCATAACGAAAACGTGTGAGTGGTTCGCACGTCTCTTCTTGGTTGGTTTGGGATTAGGGTTTTTGGCTAACTCCTCTAGGTGAAGTGCCAGTGCTACACGGACCAGGGTTGGGCAAGCACAATACGTGTCCTAACCAGTGGGTCCGAATAATGTGAATTCACCATGATTACGAATTATCAACCAAAGCACATCAGAATAAACGATGACATGCTTCGGTGTCACTTATTCGATTACGGCATCCGACTCTTTTTATTGCAAAATATAGTGTGCAGAACAGTAGATCAGGTAAACTCTATAGTCACGTGGACCTGCGATTTCATCATGGAAACCGGTAACTTAAGCCCCGCGGAAATTCGAGTGGCGCACCACATAGGGCCCTGCTAGATTAGGTGGCCACTTCACAAGCACTGATGATGTCACNCCTCGGCTGGTGATGAAACGTTTGCAAACAAATTGCCAAGCTCGGCGAACAGGCGAAATGGAACAATAAAACTCCTAGAAAAGGCAAACAAACACACTAACCTGAATTTCGGTGCTCGGAATGTATCGTTCGCTAAATGATTCACCTTTCAGACGAGCAAATAATGCACTCTTGCCCACATTACGATCGCCACGAATGACAATTTTCACTGAAACATATCGAGAGAAAAAAACTGGCATTATTCATCTGCCAAAAGTATCAGAACAATCAAGGTGACACAATTAAGCACACATACACAGAGGCAAATACGTTCAGAGCCAATCCGCTAGGAAAGATGAGCAGTGATGTTGAATTCTTTCTAGACAGCTTATCAATGTAAAGGGAAAATGTGTTATTATTATTATTATTATTACAACGAAGATCGAAGTAAGCCATTATTCACTACATGCATCTCTGACCCATGTCATGGTGATAGATTTATGTGCGCAGTGAAGTTCGCACTCGTTTCAGTCTACGCCGTATGTCCATAACTTCATCGTGTTAAAGAAACCGAAATGACTTTTGTGGATAACCCACTGGCCATACCTTTGTCGACCTTCAACTGAACTGCTTCCAAACATAAGAAAGTTGTTTATACAGTTTTGTGCTTAATGAAAACGACGTGGAAGAAATGAGGGAAACAGATTGTTTAGGGGCAACCGAATGTTCTTAAAAAGTTCCGAACTCAGTTGCAAATGCGCCTGGATTTGTTACATCTGGAAGGAATTTGCCAAACGTAGATTTTTACGTCGGTGTGTTTTAATAATGAATGTACAGTGTTACAAGCGTGATAGCACACAATGCTAGCATTCCCCAAAAATCACAAAGAAATTCATTTTTCACTGGTTGAAAAATTCGTGTATGGTTTTCATGCACATGCCTCTGAAAGTATCAGTATGGTCAGGGGTGGGTGTCTCGAGTTGTGGCCGGTTTCCTTTCTCTTGCACCTCAGGAAATGCTCCAATAAGACCAAGTGTCTCAAACAGCTTCTGCTAAGACAGCCCGGTCTATGGCCCTCTTAGTTTTTTTTGTTCATGTTATTACACACCTAAGTGTGATGAACAGCAGACGGGGGAGAATCCCATAGCCATGGGGATCTGCTGCTCAGTGGTGGAAACCGGTCACCTAAGCCCCGCAGGACTCGGAGTGGCGAACCACATAAGGGCCCACTAGGCTGGGCGGGATACTGAACCGGACGAAAGCAGAGCTGCCTACCACCAAAGTTGGGTGGCGGAGTCCGAACCTCGGACCATAGGGTTCAAAGCACGCCGGTGACAGCGACTAAACCATTGCGTGTTTTCCCACTATAGTGGGAAGGCAAAAAGCCAATATCTGGGACTATAATCGGGTTGGTGAACCACTGGCAGTTCACCTAGGGCAGTTGGCTAAAGCCTCTGATTCCGAAACACCCAAAAAGAGGCATACAACCACACCCACTCACACATTCCTGAATGTGGCAGTGGTCACGGGCTGGATGCGGCATCGAGGTGTACTGAATGCCTAGGACGTATGACTCCGTCAAAACGGTATATGATTTGATGAACGGGACACCGGCCATCCAAAGGATTGCAGTTTTCGCCGCCTTGCTACATAACGGATCACACTTTGGCTAGTCAAAGACGCCGGTTGTGAATTCCCCGAAAAAAATTCACGTGCCTTGGCCTGGGAAACCTGGTAGTATTCCGATAAAAAAAATCATGGAACGTCTTCCTTTTTCAAAAACATCTTTCTACTGAGATATGTTTGGAACAAGATCCGAGTTCAGACGTGTGAAACACAATACAGCGCATCGCGTTAGTTGCCTAAAATAAGATAATAAAATATCTTAGAGTATATTCGACATGTCTAACAAAATTACCGGGTTTAGATACGCACAAAATTAAGTTGAGTTCGACACAGAAAGGAAATGCACGATGCTTTGATATATATATATATATATATATATATATATATATATATATCACCGGCTTGACAGAAAGCATGGCGCCAATGAAAAACAATGATGATGAAGCTGTGACGAGATACAGAAAGATTAAATGAAAATGAGGAAAACAGAGAACAAGGAGAACAAATGAATGATTTTTATAGTTTCACCGTACACTTTTTTGAGATTTTTTTGTCTGTTATGGGGAACAGGGTTTCGCCAAACAAACCACACAGCAATCGCACCACTGACATCTATTCTCAGCCATATACCTCAGCATCTCTAACCATCAGCAATCCTCATCCTTTGGGCCCCAGTCAGGACGATGAGCTGCACCAACTGAGGCCAATGATGAGGCTAACTTCTTCATACCTCCACGCCATGTCATGGTCAAACCGCCGACCAGCACGTGAAAAGGGAGCTCGGAGGTAGACGATGAGTAGGCGTACGCAAAGCACGGTCGAGTCATCGGAGGCGGTGTAGAACGAATAATTCCGTTAGAGAACGAATATCCGCACCCAACACACGACGACGAATTTCGTCATCGCTCACCCGATGTTCCCACCAGACACGAGCAATTCTTCGAACGCATCGGTGGTTGAATATGGCCAGGTCTCGCAACTGTAAAGCAGAATACTATTTTACCGCGGCGATGTACACCCTTCTCTTAAGCTGTCGCAGGTTGGTTGCCCTAGCTTTCGCTATTCATGATGCGATCTTTTCCTGAACCCCACCTCCAGCTGTGAATAAGCTCCCGAAGTACTTAAAGCTCTTGACCATTTCCATCTGATTGCCATGAATAGTAAACGCAGGGCACAGGCTTCTGCCAGTCTTGAACAAACACTTTGCATTTGGATGGTACAAAGCACACACCATACCTGGGTACCTGTATCGCCAAATGGTTTAAAGCTTGTTGGACTGCCTGTGCCTGTATCACCCAACAAGGCGATGTCGTCGGCATATTCTACGTCAACAACTCTGTTCCCTGAGAGGAGTTTAACTCCACCGTTTGGTAAACCGGATAAATCATCCTGCAGAACATCCGCTATGGCGAAGTTGAAAAGTAATGGGCATATAGAACAACCTTTTCGAAATCCACTGGAGACTGTGAAGGGTGGTGAAAGCTGGCCATAGGCTCTAACTTGACCTGAGGTATGACGATAGAGCTCTTTGAGGATCGAGACACTTTTCTGGTACTCTATTCTTCAACAGACAGCTCCATAGTGCGGCACCATCAACAGAATTGAAGGCCGTGCGAATGTCCACGAACGCAATGATCGTTGGTCTATGGTATGCATGATGGTGCTCAAGCAGCTGTCGGAGGGTGAAGATTTGATGGGTACAGCCAGTGCCAGCATGAAACTTAGCCCGCTCCGCGCGGGCATGTTCTTCATGCGTTTTGTACAATCAACGAAGAATGATGGACGCTAACAGCTTTGACGCTATTGGGAACAGGCTTATTGTTGGCACAATCATTGCGGGGCTTCTGTTTGAAGATGGGGACATATATTGACCTCCCGCCCCCTCCAAATAAGTGAAGATCAAGGTAAGTTACAAGCTTTTTTGAAACGTTTGAGTGCTGGTTCATTCATGTTCGGTATGCGTTTTGCACCTTCAAAGTGTAAAATGCTACTACAAGACTGGGTTGGTCCAGCACCCAGCCTCACTCTCACTGGGGAAGTAATAGAGCAGGTGGATACGTTTTGTTATCTGGGCAGCTACATCTCACCCGGTGGATGCATTACGGATGAAGTGTCAGCTCGCATACAGAAGGCTCAGTTGGCATTTGCTAACTTGAGACATCTGTGGCGCCGTCGCGACATCCGGCTGTCTGTGAAGGGTCGAGTGTATGCCGCGACAGTTCGGCCAGTTCTGCTATACGGTGCAGAAACTTGGCCATTAAGAAAACAAGATAAAGACAGACTGTCGGTGTTTGAACACCGCTGTCTACGCAGCATTGCACAAATCTGGTGGGGTAGCCGGATGAGCAATGCTGATGTTAGGGACAGAGTTTTGGGTAAATACGGTCGCCCACTGGAGCAAGTGGTCGACCTCCATAGATTACGTTGGCTGGGACATGTGCTACGCATGTCACCAGGTAGGTTACCACGGCGAGCGACGTTTGCCGAGGCAGGTAGTGGGTGGAATAAAGCCCAGGCTGTTCAAGCTAAGACTTGGCATGAAGGTATGAAAACCCTAACCAGGAGTCTGGGTCACGTAGGTCCCGTTAAGCTCCCTGGCTGGGGACATCGGGATGGTCGTAACCGATGGTTGTGTGAGAAGCTGACGCTGTTCGCCAGCTTAACTGTGCTTGGAAGTGCTCCGCCCAGCGTTCAAGACATCGTTGTTGACTATGAATAAGCGGGTCGTCAGCTTCACAGATCGTTTTGTTCACACACAAGGTTTTCCTACCGGTGAATCGAATTAGATGGATCAGCTTGCGAGAATTTTCAGTGGCGGCAGCACGTTCCACTTCTGACGCGCGTTGAAACCACCAGATTTCGCGATCTCTGCGTAGGCTTAAGTTAAGTTAACATCTTGTTACAAGCCGTGTTACGTTATGATCGCTGTCAGTCGGAACTGACCAGCGTTCATCAAGAAGATGCTGAGATTCCGCGGAAATTCAGGGTGTCATGGCACGGCGTGTCAGACAACAACTAACTAATCCAGCAGAATGCGCAGTATTCTTGATAAGCGACCAGTGCTCACTGACGTTATCAGGTGGGGCTGGTTCTAGCTTTTCAGCTAGCGCGTTTGGAAAGATGGCTAAGCATGCTGGTTAAGACAACTTATCGCAGTCGAACCGCCGCCGTGTCGTACTTTTAGGACGCCCACCGAAGCACATGGACAGCTTGATGCAAACTAACGCGTGATCGGATTCGAGGGTAGTGCTCCAGTACGATCGGCAGTCTTGAATGCATCCCCGCCACTTGTAGTTTATAGCGATGTGGTCTATCTGCGTTTGTCGCTGATACGAGGAGGGTGGACGCCAAGTGGCGTAACGGCAGTTGGAACGTCTGAATTTCGTACTGGCGAAGAATAGGCGGTGGTCAGAACGTAGAGTTAGCAGCCGTTCTCCGTTTTACGATCGACAGGAATCTATTCTGAGAGGACTACCCAGATGCGCCTCACCCGGAGTTGGTCGGCCTACTCTAGCAATCACATTTCCCGATAAAATCACGATATCAGCCCGATTTGCCTTGCACAAGAGGTCGTGTAGCTTTTGGTAAAAAGTATCTTTGACTGTATCTGGGCTACAGTTCGTGAGTGCGTAAGCTGAGACGACAAACAAGTTGCGTCTTTCGGAGCCTCCAAGTCTCACTGCGTATAACCTACTGTCGACTGGGATCCAGCCTAGGAGAGCGGCCTTAGCTCTCTCACTGAGAGCCACGCAAACGCCAGCAAGACCAGAAGCCGCAGTCTAAGGGTCCCCAGAAAGACGCAGGTGAAAATTCACGGATGGGTTTGAAGGGGACGTCAGTCGGATGGCGGAGCTGGAGTCGTGAATGTGAGTCCTTAGAATACAACATACATCGATGGCTAAGGTCTCGAAGGCACAAGCTAAACACGCCTGTTGTCCTACACGCATCAAGGCAAGCACGTTAGATGTGGCGAATTCGAATGGGCATCGAGGACGAAGAAGGGTTTCAACTGTTGGAGTAAGATTCGGTGAGACTTGGACGCTATTCGAGGCAGGACGCGAGAGAATAGAGACGAAATTTCCATCGGAAGCACAACTGGTAGTACGATTGTCTGGAGATCTTGATAATAATGGTAATGTTTGAGGGGGGTGAATGTGAGGTGGAAGAAAAGCTGGAAAAAGTAAGATGTGCACGGTGTAAAGCGTTTTTTCATGCGCGAGAACTGAAAGAGTGAGTAATTGATTAAGTTGAAGTTCTTTGTTTGCATTGTGGGTTGTTGTACTACTTGGTCGCGCAGTCCAGAATGGGTCTTGTTCGAGGATGCACTCTGGTCTTTACGCAATCAAATGCGAGCTACAAGGCGGCAGTATTGTTCCAGATAAGCCGGTGACCGGTCGGTTGGTTCATTCGCCTTCTGTGGAAGACCTTGTCGGGTAGATGGAATTCGACAAGGGGGCCATTGCTGTATTCAATGGTGGACCACACTCGCCACGTCACAGCACCGTCATAAGATACATGTGGTGTTTTGTGTGGATAACCCTTGCAACCAAGTGGTAAAACCACCACATCCTCGAAAACTGCCGCTGATCGTCCGCGACCGCTTATTCAGTGAGAACAAACCCACCTCATTCACAGTTAATAGCGGTCGTTCTCATATCCACGACTTGGGGACACACTCGGTAGTATAGATCTCTGCTCTTGCTGACCACGACGCTTAATAATAAGATCAAAGTATCGAAATTTCGAGCTTTATTGACTGGATCCGTGGGGCCTTGTTTTCATCTTGGAATACCTCAGGAAGGTCAGTTGTGCACTTTTTGGGTGGCTGTGATCAATCAGTTCAAGCCGCTGTCATCGGATCGCTGGAGACACCCGGACCGAAATTTCAAACTCCGAAAGCACCACGCAACTTTAGTTTCGCTTTGCTGTCTCTCCCACCCCACCCCCTCCATCTCTATCCTGATGTGGTTTGGTGTGATTCGCCACGCCATGGATTTGGTTGCTGGCTACCAAGAGGGAATAGTAGATCCTTTTGTTGTTCATCACATAAAATGTGTGATTTAAAAAATTATCATCGTAATACGATTAGGAGTTAAATCAAATCAAAAGCTAAAAATCAACAACAACAACAACAGTAGAAGATTGTTCTTGCATCAACAAACGTGGCCAATGGGCACAGTAAACAGACGTGCATTCGCAGGCTCAATATCAGATACGAAAATGTGCGACCGAATACCTCAAATATGAACAACTCCGATACATTTCTTAAAAATCTTCCTCGGTGATTTTTGTGATTGAACTCACTGTTATAATTAATTCCTCGAGAAAATTTGTGTTGCAAGAACTGACCAATGGGCTGAATGTCTGGGTTGTTCATAGCCTTTTGCATGGACGCATCTCCTTTGGCCAGAAATTTCTTGATAAACGCCATCGTTCTAAATGAGAGTAAAATGCAGATACCCGGGGATTCAAAACAATGTTTCGTGATAATAAACACTCGGACATATTATCCAATTGCATGGCTTCTGTGCTATCGGATTTCATGATCATCTCAAGTCTATAATACCGAGTACTTAATAGAATAAATAATGTAAACTTAGAAAAAATCAGATATTTCATCGCTAAACCTTCTTGGTTACGGACTCAGTACTCACAGTGAATGATCAATTCTTTCGTGAGGGGGGGGGATTGAGTGTCTTCTCCATGAAAAATATTTTATATTTTTACCTGACATACATGCTTTAATCAACAATATGCATCTAGCTCCTGTGAAAACTCTGTANTTGTAGCCTCTTTTTACTCATAAAGGTTATTAGATTTCGTCTCACAGAGTGGGAAGCTGAAAAAGTAGTTCAACGGACATCCTCGATTGTAATCATACCCTCGATACTTTTCTTTTATATGTCCTTTTCTCACTACCCTCTCTACTCCTGGTTGATCTCCTGATGCACGCAGTGCTCCGTGGTTTGCGGAAATTCCACCATTTGCAGATAAAGGTACCCAGGTATGGTGTGTGCTCTGTACCATCCAAATGCAAAGTGTTTGTTCAAGACTGGCAGAAGCCTGTGC